CTTGTAGGAACTTTTACTGTCTCTTTCCAAGGAAATTTGTATAACATTACCTGCATAAACTGCAATCTAACCACATGTGTGTCTACCTGGAACAAAGGGAAGAATGTCTTAGTTCTTTCCCAACCACCATATATTATGTTGCCCTTTAATCTATCTGAACCATGGTATGATGACCTGGGAACACAGCCCTTGTAGAAATTAAGAATGAGCTCTCTAGAAGCTGGAGAGCTATTGGACTCATAATTGCTGGATCAGTGGCTGATATTTCTATCCTTATCACTGCTGTTACTGCAGCTGTGGCTCTCTCACAATCCATACACACTGCCTACTATGTTAATCAGTTGGCTCATAACACCTCTCAAACTCTAAAAACTCAGGAAGACATTGATATAAAGATAGACAGCCAACTTGCTGCCTTGAAAAGTACAGTGATAGCCACAGGCGATGAAGTAGAAACCCTCCAATGGCAGTTATGGCTTCAATGCCATGCTACATACAGGAGTGTCTGTGTTACCAATGCACCTTATAATTCTCGGTGGGAATGGAACAAAATTCTCCTAGGAGTACGGTACCATACAAACCTTAGCACAACCTGAATGAACCAATGTCTTTACCAGCTTTAGTACCAAATACATGTCAGTGTTCAGATTTCCAGGGGTCTCATATGCTTATGCTTCTGGTTCTTGGTGTGCTTTTTTTTTTTTTTTACCATTTATTTGTTTAATTTCCAAGTTCATCACATTGCAATTGATCAATATAACTTTTTTCCCCAGCTTTATTCAGATATAATCAATACATAACATCATGTAAGTTTAAGGGGTAAAAGGTGATGAAAGAAATACATCTTTTAATCCAAAGGTTTCTTCTCCAACTCTCTTTTCAATCTTAACCATGTATTTGTTAAGTAAACCATGTTGTTTGTTCCATCATTTTACACAGTTTGGATTTTGCTGACTGTATCCTTCTGTAGTTTGACATACCCTCTCTCCTCTGTGTATGTTGTGAACTGGTAGTTGGATCTGAAAGCCTGACCACATTCAGGTTTGACTATTCTTCCATCAGGGGGCACCACAATGACTTGTTGTCTTTTTTGTGATGCTGGCAGCCTTTTATGTTTTGAACTTTTTTACTAACAATACTTTAAACACCAAAGTGAGGGTTTTTCACACCAAATCCCCTGTGTACACCAACTGGGTGTTCTAGAAGTCCATTTAATACTGATACTAACTACCAGGAGCCAGCTCAGACCCCGCAGGTTAAGGGCTCAGTCCCACAAGACTACCCCCATTTCAGACACCAATCGCAAGGCCCAGGCCTCTGGTACTTCTGACCAGCCAGCTATAAACCGAGGGTTCCCATGATTGCCTCCTCAAGTTCAATAATTTGCTAGAATGTTTCACAGAACTCAGGAAGGCACTTTACTATTACTGATTCATTATAAAGAACACAATCCAGGATCAGCCAGATGGAAGAGATGCATAGGGTAAGGTATGGGAACAGGAGTGTGGAGCCTCCATACCCCACCTGGGCACACCACCCTCCCAACACTATGGTATGTTCAAAACCCCAGAAGGCCTCCAAATTCTATCATTTAGAGATGTTTTCACAAACCCCATTACAAGGGCATGATTAAATCATTGGCCATTGGCTATTAACCAGTTCCAGCCCCTTGTTCCTCCTCAGAGGTTGAGAGGTGGGCTAAAGTTCCAGCCCTATAACAACATAGTAGGTTCCTCTGGACACCAGCCACCAGCTGAAGCTATCTAGGGACCCAGCAAGAATCATCTTACTACCATAAACTCAGGTATGGTTGAAAGGGGCTAATTATGAATAACAAATTGTTTTTCTCACTTCTATCACTCAGAAATTCCAAAGGTTTTAGAAGTTCTTTTGCCAAGAACCAGGATGAAGACAAACTATATTATTTCTTATTATGTCACAATATTCAATGCCTAGACCCATTAGATTGTTAGGGTTTGTAATTTGATGACATTCTATCAGTCACCTTCATGTATTACCAGAATACTTCTACAAAAAGACCTATTTTTTACTCAGTAATACAGTTCATAAAGAAAAAGAAGACTAGAAGATGATTTCTTTTTTTTTTAACTCACTTTCAAAATAATGAATTGCTTCTCCAGAATCCTCCATTAGTGATCGATTAGTTGCTTTTCACTTCTTATATTATAGACTCATGGATTTAAACATATTTCATGTCTTTTAATTCACTGCCATTATTCTTCTTTTTGGGCACAATCTGTTTCATCTTTGACCAGTAAGAGCCTCTTCAGACTGACTGCTGAGTCCTTCTGACAGTCCCCTAAGTAGACTTTGAGAGCTTCTTTGCTACCTGACATGTTTCAGACTCGACTGAAACATTTCCTGCTCCAGAGCTAGAATCAGCCATTTCCTCCAAGGAACCCTCATCCCTTTTAGTGGGAAATGATAACTGGATTTCACATTCTGAGAGTAACACTTGTCAATTCTTTATTTAGCGAACATTTTCTGGGCAGTTAATATGCATCAGTCACTGGATTTAACTTCGAAGATACAAAGATATGACACAAACTCAAAGACCTGACAAACCAGTGGCAAACACTTAGAAAGAATAGATAACCAAGAGAAGTCAAACAAAACAAATAAGCTCTGGGCAAAATAATTCACTTGCAATGTATCTAGTCAGGAAATACACTTTCATCTAAATAGCATTCTTAGAGAGAAATAAAAGAGAGACCTGATTAGTAATGGTATAGTTAAAGAAAGACTTGAAGGACTATACCTATACTATACCTTGACTAAGAGAACAGAATTGAATCAGTCACCAGATATATAAATATACCTGCTTATGAGTGTCAATCATAAGACATATCTTCAGATAGAGAATTACACAAGAGAGAATGCCTCTCTCGTGGCATGTTAAAGGTCCTTGTCAAACTAAGGAAATCTTTTTTTTCCAACCATAAAATACAGTTCCTGTCAGTATGCCTCTTATATTAAATACCATACTATTTCAAAGATTAAAGTGAAATATTTCTGTCAAAAAATGTTTTGAAACTTGTCATTTTTCCATTCACTAATATTTTACTTCCAACTAGAAATTAGTTACAAGGCAGCTTACCTTTTGTCTTTCTTACTAATTTTCCCTCTTCCCCATTTTTCACTTATATTTTTCCCTCTGTTTCTTGAACTGCTTCCCTCTTGACTTTCTGCAGAACACAGTTTATCCAGGACCCCATTTAAAACAAAAAAGAAAGGGATAGAAAAGACAAAAAGAAACTGCTTCCTACCACTATGGAAAGCAGTATGAAGATTCCTCAAAAAACTAAAAATAGAAATATCATATAACCCTATAATTCCACTCCTAGGATTTCACCTGAAGAAAACAAAATCCCTGATTTAAAAAGACTTATGCCCTAGAAGCCACAGGGCATAAATCTGCAAAGAAGTAAAAAGCTAACCTTCTCAAACAATATGGCTTCTCCCTCACTTACCAACTTTACATTTCCCTGTATGGCCCCGGAAGATGACTGGTTAGCCAGAGACGGGTAAGATTCCTCAAGGGAGGAACAACCTAAGACAGGCACAGTCGCAGGGGGGCCATCAGGTGAGAAATTGGGGATCAACAGAGGTGAGGCTTAGAACCTCACCCCCCCTGTTTTGAGAGAAATCTTCTGCATCCGTGGATGTTTTA